AGGGACACCTTCGACTAGATCAGGCTGCTTCAAGCCCATCCAGCACTCATTTCCAGGCCTGGAACACTCCCAGGGATGGGGCAGCCACAGCTTTCTCTGGGCAACCTGTGCCAGTGCCTCATCATCTTCACAGGGAGAAATTTCTTCCTAACATCTAATTTCAGCCTACTTCTCGTGTCAGTTTGAAACCATTCCCCCTCATCCTGTCACTGCATGGCATTATAAAAAGTCCCTCTCCAGCCTGCTTTGGCCCACCTTGAGGTAAACACAGAAAAAACTTTAAAGGCAATGTTCTTGTTTCATCAACTCTAAAAAGCTTCGGCTATTTTTCCGTTTGTTAGTCTGTATTATTTCTTATTGAACATAAGTTCTGTTTGGGGAAGAAACCCAAGAGTCATTCGTATTAATATTTCACTGCTTTAAGGTTAATTGTTCACTACCTTTTACAGCAAACCCCATTACCATATCTACACATGCCTTTGCACTGTGTCCTATATTTCAGATTGGAATTATTTACCTAATTAAGGTATATACGTAAAGATTGTGCAAATATTGAACCCAAGCATATAATACGTCCTGTTTTCTTAAGGGATAGATGGTAGGTAGCTGCAAATTGTGGTGTTCAGAGCGGAGTTCCTGAAATTAAACTGCCTCTTAATAGCCTAGTTGTCTGACCTGGGCGGGGTGAGGAATTTGGAATAATCGGGGGAGAGGGCAAAGTAGTGTGCTGAAAGGTTTAGCTGCCTGCTTGGTTTCTTGGAGTAGGGAGGTGAAATGTGCTGGAAGTGTGATCCCATCCAAGGGAGATGCACTAAACCAGGGGCTTATTTTGGCTGTTTTCAAACAAGCTGATGCCATTTCTGCGTTGTGGCCAATCTGGGTTGCAGATCCAAAAACCCAGGGTAATGTTAAACTTAATACTGTGTGGGTATTACTACTATGACCTAAGCTAGTTAATTTTTGGATGCCCAGTGCTGCTGTCGCGTTTGTGTCTGCAGGGTAGATATAATCCTGCGTTTAGTATGTAGTGGGTTATATCTTCTGGACAAATGGCAAAGGTGTTGAAACAGTCTTTTGTGGGAGGAGAGTTTTCCCGTGGGCAGATTAGCGAGTCAACTGCATTCTCCTTGTGTGAGTCAAGCAGGGTGAAACTAGGCTTGGAAAAGAGCTCGATTGTTATGGAAAACGGCAAGCGCTGAAAGAGTAAGAAAAGGATGTAGGAAATGCACATACCTAACAAAGGACTGGTTGCTCGGTGAGGGAGTGTTATCTGCAAAGAAACAGGACACTGACTGTCTTCCCTATATGAGTGCTAATTGGGTTGACAAAAGCTGCCCATTGCCTGAAGTCAGAACTTTTGAGGCTCGAACAACATAAAATCAAGACTTGGGGTCTGAAATCACCCGTTTAGCTTGACTGCATCTTTTTAAAACAGAATAAAACAAACCTTTGTCTCTATTCTGCCACTCTTGCAATACTAAGTCCTTCCTGTGGTTCATGAATCTGTCCGTCCACTTTAGCATAGCTCTTACTGTAGTGTGTCACATTTTAGGGCTTTTTGATGAGCTGCTTTTCGTTTTACTCAAGCTATAGGCACCAGTTACAAAGCATTGTTTTATATCTGATCACAAAACAGCAATAAGAACAAAGTGTTAGTATTTGCTCTTCTCTATAATTTAAGTCTTTGGAACGGAATACTAATAGTATGACCGCAATTTGATAATATCAACCACTTTCTAATGCACAGGTGTTTAACATAGCACTGTATACTGCATTTTAATTGCAGTACCCTGAGAACTGCTACCAGCTTGGAATAAATGAACTGTCTCCAAGTATCTCCAGGATCTTTCTCAGCTAAACTGTAAGCTTGAGAGAAGTGGCATTGCTTATCTAATTATAATTTCAGTGTGATATCCGTTTAAGCTGTGTCCTTCAAGACGGTTTTATGGCTTCTATTCACAGCTCGGTTTAGGGACCTGTGATTATACCATTAAACTTTGCAGTCTTTAACACTATTGCTGGTGTAATCATGGGGCTTGAGGATCTGAGAGTTGGATTTGTGTAATTCTGCCTTGTGGTAGTTACACCACACACAGACCACAATGTCTGTTCGACATTTGAATTTATTTCCTTTAGGGTGGTTGTTTTGTTAGTACAATTTAAGCTTCAGCTTTCATGCAGTCTAGTGAAAAGATTTGTCCATGTCGTTGTACTGACAAAAAGTTCTCTTATGCCTTAGTATGAGGCCTGGAGGTTGGCAAGTGTTAAGTGGATCTGGGGTAATTTAGTTCAAAACTCTGAAAAGCATCAATACATTCTATATTTCTGTACACCTCCTTAGGAGGTTTCACAGTCTAGACAGGACTAATGCTCCTCAGACTTTTGCAGGAATAGCTTGAAGGTATATCTAGAGTTGGGCTACTTTTGATTACCTATACTGGGAAACACACACAATTGTGTATTTACCTATTTCTTGTGTAAGAATTCTTTAAAATGTAAGGAGTGTAAACATTTTTTCACTCTGGAACTGTATCAAAACTCTATTGATAACAAAGGGCCCATCCTTCAACAGTGTTCATGGCTGTTCCCTGTTCAGGTACACAAACCTGCCTGCTCAAGAAGATTCTCCTCTGTAGCTCACTTGGCAGATTTTGTGCCTAAACAAATCCACAAATATTGACAGAAACTGAGGTAAGGTTAAAAATAATTCCCCCACAGACAGTCAGCTTCTAGTGCAAGGGCTAGAGGAAACAGCTTTAAGCTGAGACAGGGAAGATTCAGATTAGCTACTAGAAAAAAATGTTTCACTGCTAGGTGTTCAGGCACTGGAATAGGTTGTCCAGGAAGATGGTTGGAATTACCATCTCTGGAGGTGTTTCAAGAGGCATCTGGATCTGGCACTGGAAGATATGGTTTAGTGGTTACAGTGGGAGTTCTGACGGATGCTTGGACTGGATCATCTTAAAGGTCTCTTCCAAGCTTGATTATTCTATGGTTCTATGAAATTCCCTGTTCATACACTTTAGCTTGGTAGATGTCTGAGTTTTGGGGAATGGTGTGAGTTCCAGGACATTGTCTGCTCATGCAATTTAATCTGTCAGCAGGAGGGAACTGTGCTGTGTCTGGAGGGGTTCTGAGCTGAGCAAAGAGGCAGAGACACAATTTATAGTGATAGCTGTCTTGTGTATGAAGCAACCAGGGCTGTCAGCTCTTCCACCTGGCTCTTTGAGTAGAAAAGCACAGATTGAGCATCTGGCCCATGAATTGCAAGGAGCTCCTAGATGACTGGCCCTATTGCATCTTCACATTCCAGTTTCA